GCTACTGAAACAATATATGTGATAATTCATTTTTGTATATACATACACACACACACACACACACACACACACATATATACATAAAAAACATATATTAAATCATTTAAATTATTTATCTGCAAAAATGTATATCTACAAATACTTAGATTAACATACCCCAAAAATAAAATGTACATATATTTACATTAAATATAATAATTCATTTTATGTTAACATAAGTTAAAACTATTTTGCTTTTTTATAAAAAAAAAAAAAAGTAATTCCCAAAGGGTTTACCCACAAATAATAATAATAATAATAAAATCATGATTTAGATCTCTACAGATACTCAATGAATAAATAAATGAATAAATAAACATTTTTTATAAAGATTATACCTACAAATATTTAAGATGTAGGTCTTTACAGTTACCAGCCGATCGATCAATCAATCAATCAATCAATCAATCAATCAATATTTGTTAAAAAAAATAAAAAAATACATGAACTTTCAGAAAGCTGTATATCTACAAACATCTAAGTCTGAGACGTGTTGAGATTCTCACCAGGAGAGATTATTTGCCGACGGGTACTGAGACGGCTGGCAGCCCATCCCGCTCATGGTTCCTATCCTGTCCATCTTGTGTCCGAAGCATCCGCTCCTGGCCGTCGAGCCTCCCTTCTTAGATCCAGCTTTGAGTCTGCGTGAGCCGGGCTGATCGTTCAGGATCCGAGCCCAGGGGCCCTTGGCCCGGGTGTCCAAGCGCAGGTCCCTCAGCAGACGAACCCTGTTCTCCATCCTCCTCTGACTCTCATCAGACGCCAGGAGCTCAGACAGCTCCTCGCCCAACAGCATCCGCAGGGACTGCGGGACACACCGATGCAGAAACACTCTCAATACTCAGACAAACAGCATTCAGAGCTCAGAACGCTCTATTAATACTCACGAGTTCTTGTCTACATTCACACTCTAAAACTCTGAACTGTTCTCTAAAAGAGATATTTCCACCTGATCTGACGCTTGAAAATGTTGTTTTTAAAAAAAAAATCGATTTAAGGTTTATTCAGTCACATCAAACCAGATTTCTGACTTGAATAAACTAGTTTCCACATTTTTACGACGCAAAATCGCGCATCCAATTTGAGTTCCTTGAGCAGGAGCTTTATACACACAGATCAAATTCAGCGTAAAATGGTTCTTCAGCTTGTAAATTAAACTATTAATATTAATCAACCCTGTTAGGGAAGCCGTTTTGTAAATGTTAAAGTGTAACGCGTAACTCAGGTCGTCAGTAACGGAGTGGTTCTAGACTAGTAGTTTATATTTATAATGTATTTGATTATTGCTATTTCTAGGAGACTTGATGGAATTCTCATTTACCTTTAATATAAGTAATCGTTTAGATGTTTCTCCTGAAATACAAACCGACGCGGATGCACCACCAGTCTCAGATGGATTCATCTCGAATGATTTTGATGAAATGTTTATGTTGAGATCTTGCGAACATCTTCGCGGTTTCCCCTGAAACCTTCCTCCGAAAAGAGAACAAAAAAGTTTCCGTTTACTCAGAAATGAATGTCTAAAGATACACGCAGCGCGTCTTAAAAGCGCGTTTTCTATTTTTCACGCCTGCGAACGAGAACCTGATGATTATATATAAGCCACACAAATGAATGAACCTACAGTTTTGCGCAAGAAGTCTTGCGTCCGGACAAGTGTCCGAGCGTCCTGTGCGCTTCTGCGATCTAATGATGCTCTAAACGCTTTTGCATAATGATGAGGAGGAAGAGAAGGACTCGCAGATGAAATTAAAAGCAGTCTTTTTTGAACTTGAGATGATGTAAAACTCGTAGTTTTATGCATATATTGCGCGTAACTGCATATCCAAGCTTTAGCGCATCTTCTACCCAAGTTTGTAGACCTTATATCAACTTGTATATATCAAACCAGACTCTTAACTTGATCTATTGCAGACTATATGACACACAAACTGTATGATTTATTATACACAAGTCTAAATATCACACTCACCCGCTGTTCTTCCAGCGTTAGTGGTTTTGTCTCAGTGCTGACCGACAGGAGAGTCAGGATAAGTCCACAAGCCACCAAATGCGAGAGGATCATCGTGATGCTGCTTCAGATGTCAATGCTTGTCTAAATATGTCGATCACGACCCTTCATTTACTCCCAGAGGTGTCGAGCTCAACTCTTACTCAATGCAATCTCGGCTCAGGGTTTTATAGCCGGTATGACATCACTCCGGTGACGTCACCCCCCCCCCCTCACGCGCTTTACCTTTGGGTGGCTGCGTCACAGGTTACTGTTGATTGTATCCGATGTGACTGATACAGTGTTCCTGCTACTGATCTGAGGATATTCGTGCTGGATGTTTAGTCTAGTCACCTTTGCAGTGACCACTTAAATATAGGCGGGAAAAGAACAATCGCAAGTGAAATCATTCATGATTACCATGAATCACAGGACAGGATTTAGGTGGAACAGAAGTCATGTAAGATTTGTCTGCAGCGCGCACAAGATTAAACCACGTCTTTTGCCTTAATGCCATATGCGGTTTAAAAGTCCTAAAAGTCATGTTACATTTAGATTATATATATATTTATCGTTTGACAGCACTAATATATATTAGTGCTGTCACACGATAAACCGCGATTAATCGCATCCAAAATAACAGTTTTTGTTTACATAATATATGTATGTGCACTGTGTTTATTTATTATGTTTATATAAATACACACACATTTGTTATATATTTGGAAAATATTTACATGTATATACATTTATATATTAATATTATTATATTTTATATTATATATAAATATGTCTAATATATAAACAACATAGTTTTCTTAAATATATACATGCATTTGTTTGTATTTATATATACATAATAAATATACACGTTACACACTCATATATTATGTAAACAAATGTTTTTATTTTGGATGCGATTAATCACGATTAATCATTTGAGAGCACTAATATATATATATATGAGTATTGCATATTGACAGTATGCACAATGAAAACATTTAATGTAAATATGTTTTGAAAATAATTATAATAAAATAAAATAAATACATATACAACATATAACATATTTGGTCTTTGTATCTGTTCTTGGAGTCAAAAATAAAACATATTCATCAGTAAAGTACTGCATATATGTGAGCAGAGGTCAAAGGCAGAATAGAGCATCAGTTTGAGCAGGAGTGAGGATCTTCTACACTTTCTGGTTTGCGACACTGTGTGGCAGTATATGCTGATTGAAATGGTTTCAGCAGCCAGCGCACCAGTCCATCAGACTTCAGTGTCAGAGACTGGATAATTATTTACAAATAAGGATTTTATAGTCTATAATCATACTCTTGCTGTAGGTGTAGTGCTGTGAACGAATGCTTATTTTCTGCACTTTCAACGTGTTGAAACATTAAAACACTGACATACATTCAGACATATTTCAAATATAATGTGTTCTTGAGGTTGGGAGAAGTAGTCACACTGCCCCCGTAAAAAAAAAAAGAAAAAAGATTTTTCCCCCCTGAATTGTTTACATTTTCAAAAATAAATAAATAATGCACATATAATGCACATAAACAAATGCTTTCTGGGCAATAATTATTAATATATTTTTTTATTTAATTAATAATTTATTTATAATTCTTTTTTTAATTATTTTTTGTTGTAAGAAAACTGTTTCAGAAATTGTCAACATTCTAAGTATTAAATTCATGCAGTTGATGGAGTTCAATCCATCTTTAAAGGAACAGTTCACCCAAAAAATTAATATTAGCTGAAAATGTACTCACTCTCAGGTCATCCCAGATGTAAATGAGTTTATTTCTTCATCAGATTTGGAGAAATGCAGCATTACATCACTGTCTCACCAATGGATGTGAATGGGTGCCGTCAGAATGAGAGTCCAAACAGCTGATAAAAACAACACAATAATCCACAAGTAATCCACACCACTCCACTCCAGCAGTTAACATCTTGTGAAGCAAAAAGCTGCGTGTTTGTAAGAAAGAAATCCATTCATTAAAATGTTTTTAACTTCAAATCATTGCTTCCAGCTTCCAGTCCATAATATTAAAGCAAATCCATTAAGACGTTTTAACTTCAAACTTCAACATTTTGGCCAAAATACGAGTCCATAATCCATTATAGCACTTCCTCCAGTGAAAAAGTCCATCTCCTGTTGTCTCTCACATCAAAATCCAGCCACATATTTGTTTAGAGCTGTTTTGGACTGTAAACGGGGCTTGGTCTGGGCAGATTTCTCTCCTGATTCAGACCAGATTACTTTTTCACTGGAGAGAGCAATATTATGAATTATGAACTTGTATTTTAGATGGAGGCAACAGTTTAAAGTTAAAATGTCTTAATGATGGATGTGTTTCTCACAAACACACAGCTTTTGTCTTCACAAGATGTTAATTGATGGACTGGAGTGGTGTGGATTACTTGTGGATTATTGTGATGTTTTTATCAGCTGTTTGGACTCTCATTCTGACGGCACCCATTCACATTCATTGGTGAGCAAGTGATGCAATGCTGCATTTCTCCAAATCTGATGAAGAAATAAACTCATTGGATGGCCAATCTTGGATAGACAAATCTGCAGTTTACAGATCATAATGAATAACTCATGAATATTTAATGAGGCAGGCGCAGAAGCGTTTATGATTGGTTGTCTGTAGCTATATTGTACATCACATTGTTTCATATCATTTTTAAATGTATGTCAAATCTGTTACTACTTTTTTTTTGACAGTATTGACCAATCAGCATCCACGATTGCAACTATCCATTTTATAATGGCAGTTATTGTTATAAAAATGGAAAAGGAACAAAATATAACTTTTAAGGACATGCTGTTTCCTTTCATAAAATACATACGACTAAGTCCACTAAAATTTCTGACCTTTCGAAAAGCCGCTGCCTTGTCCGTAAGACAATTTCCCAGATGTAAAGGCGGTATAAACGATTTCTGCACTCTTAAAATGGAATCACAAGATATTTGGTGGTCATATTTAACAAAAGGAAATCATACGGATCACAGATTTTATGTTTAACTGTCACAGAGTGGAAAAAAGCGGCTCACTTCCTTCATTCTGTACAAATCCTGTCAAGCATGACTGCTCACGTTTTCCTCGTGATGATAATGATAACTTAACGACATTAAATTTAGAGTATAATATGTAATGAAGTATACATGTAATAAATGTAATTAATTAAAAATATTATGCATTATTATTAAAATAACATTCTTTGTATTATTTGTAGTTTTTGCTCATGACGTAAACCATATACAGCACTTGTACATAAAAAACCTGGTAATAAATAAATTATAATAAATTGTTTGTTATAATCAGTGTTATTTTAGTAAAATTGAAATACATCATAGTTCTAATTAATAGTTTGAATTATTTTTTATTATTTTTCTACCTATCTATCTATCTATCTATCTATCTATCTATCCGTCCGTCCGTCCGTCCGTC